GGGCGCGGGGCGCGCTCTGAGGCCGGGGGATGCGCCGCCGCCCCGACCATGGGCGCCGCCGCCTCCCGGAGGAGGGCGCTGAGGAGCGAGGCCATGTCCTCAGTGGCGGCCAAAGTGCGGTGAGTGCGGCCACCGGGCTCAGCGCCCCCGCCCCGTCGGCGTGTCCCGCGCGCCCCTCCCCCGTGACGGGTGCCCGCGCGTCGCCTCCCCCGCGCCCCGCCTGTGTGCGCCCTCCCGAGACTGCGGGGGGCGCGTCGCGCGACCTCACGACTCGACATCGCGTGGCGGGGTCTGGACAGAGAGCAGGCCGGGGCCGGGCCTGCAGGTCCGGCCGAGGTGCCACGGGACCTAAGGGTCCCAGAACTGCGACCTGCCCGCCCTGGGCTTTCCGGGTGGGAAGGGTGCCTTGGTGGTGACCCCCGATCCCTCTCTTGCTGATGCCGAGGGTGCGGCTGTGGGTGGGCTCCTGCGGTGGGACAGGCGAGTGGGCCTGTGTGCCCTGACGGCGCACCCCGCTGTCCACCTGCAGAGCAGCCCGAGCGTTTGGCGAGTACCTGTCCCAGAGTCATCCTGAGAACCGGAACGGTGCAGGTAGGCACGCGAGGCGGTGCCAGGGCGGGGTCCGTCCACAGCCCCCCAACCTAGGGGATGCTGCCCCTGCCCCAGGCCAGGCCATGGGGACTGCAGGATGCAAGCAGCGACAGCTGCCCTGCTGAGCTGGCTTCCTCACGCCCCCTGCCCTCCCTGGCCCACAGCCCCAAGAGGAGCTCCGAGTCACTCATCACCATGGCACCTACCCAGCCTGGGCCGTTGGCATGGCAACAGGCCTCTTGGCACCCCCAGGGCTGGCACTACTGTCTCTGGGGGCCAGCTGGTGGGGGGGAGGGGAGAAGTTGGCACTGGGCATACGGGTGCGGTGACAGGCTGGGAGGTGGCCTGCTTGTTCCTGCCCCCCCAGATCACCCACAGGTAGCACAGCCTGTCGCCCCCGCCATGCACGCACACACACACAAACAAACGCACACGAGGGGTCTGGGGCCCAGATAGGAGGGAAGTGGGAACCTCTAGAAGGAACGCACAGCTCGGAACCACATTTCTGAAGACAGAAGGGACTAGAGTTTGGTTAGTAGGGCTGGGGAGCACCCCAGCCCCCCACATCCAGGCTAGGCACCTGCCGGGTGTTCCCTGCCCTCAGAGCACCGGGAGACTGGGAGAGCAGGGTGGGCTGCGAGTTCACCTGGCGCCTCACCCCCAGACCACTTGCTGGCTGACGCCTACTCTGGCCACGACGGGTCCCCCGAGATGCAGCCAGCCCCCCAGAACAAGCGCCGCCTCTCCCTGGTCTCCAACGGCCGCTATGAGGGCAGCCTCTCGGAGGAGGCGGTCAGCAGGAAGCCGGCCGGTGAGGGCCCCCAGCCCCGTGTGTACACCATCTCCGGGGAGCCAGCCCTGCTGCCCAGTCCGGAGGCCGAGGCGATAGAGCTGGCCGTAGTGAAGGGGCGGCGGCAGCGGGAGCGGCACCCCCACCACCACAGCCAGCCCCTGCGTGCCAGCCCGGGCAGCAGCCGGGAGGACGTCAGCAGGCCCTGCCAGAGCTGGGCGGGCAGCCGCCAGGGTTCCAAAGAATGTCCCGGATGCGCCCAGCTGGCCCCTGGCCCCAGCCCCTCCCCTCGGGCCTTTGGGCTGGACCAGCCACCCCTGCCTGAGGCCACCAGCCGCCGCAAGAAGCTGGAGAGGATGTACAGCGTCGACCGTGTGTCTGGTGAGGGGGCTCGTCCTGGGCACGGGCAGGCTCGGGCACGGTGCTGGTGCTGGGGTCTACCAGCAGCAACCGCTGTGAGGCTTGGACAGGTGGAAGGTGCTCAGGTCATGGCGTGCAGGTTGAGTCCTGCTGACACATCTCATGCCCCATGTCAGGCCTTATGGTTGGCTTTGGCCCTGCTAGTACTTCCTGGAGAAGGGGGCTTGGGAGGATCCTGAGGGTTGAGCAGGCAGAAAACATGGCTTAACTGGAAGATCAGGCTGCCTTTGGGGAGTCCTGGGGAACAGTCCTTGCCCTGGGGCCCACCAAGTGGGGATCCCACTCACCTCAGGAGCCACATAGCTGTCTGGGGCCTGGCCAGCCACTGGGCTCCTCCCCAGGATTGGGGACCTGCGCAGGTGTCTGGGGAGGCCTGGAGGCTGGCTGTGTCTGGAAGAGGCCTCCCTGGGACCCCATGCCTCCTGGCTCTGGGGTCACCTCCTAAAGAGCAGAATTCTAACTAGCTGAGCTGCCATGTCCTCCTAGGATACTTCCTGAGCCTCCAAGTCAGCAGCCACCTGGGCGTCAGGGCACAGGCCTGGGATGTGGGCCGTTCACCTCCATGACCTCATGCTCCTCTGATGGACTCCCCTGATGGCAGGGGGCTGTGGCCGGGCTCAGGGTGACAGAGAGCAAACTCGAGCTCTCGAGTTTGGGAAGGGGCAGCCCTCAGCAAAGTGGTCTCCATACTTGGTGAGGGTCTCCACCTTACCCTGGTGGAAGGGTCTGGGGCAAGGGAGGTCTGGCCGAGCGGACACCAGAGCGTCAGGCCTGCAGAAAAGGCCTCAAAGCCCCCAGGAGAGGCTACAGCCATTGTCTCTACCCTGCCCCTCCTGCCCAGAGGGAGACAGTGAGTCCTCTCCCCCAGCACCCTGGAGACAGGCTGTGCTTTCAGAGAAATACTGCTCAGCTGTGGGCAGCCAAACGGGGCACGGAGCAGACGATCCAAGTGTTAGGAAGCCGCGAACTCACTCGGCTTGAACAGCTGGCAGGCACATGCTGCGTCTGGCCCTGCACTGGCCTCCTCCCACCTGGGAGAGGGCTGGGGGACCCTGGTGCCTTTCCTCTGAGGGCTGTGGCAGAAGCACCCCCTTCCCCGACAGGTGGGTGGAAAGGCTTCAGGAGCCCCCAGGCCACCCTTGTCACTGCTATTGTTTCTTCCAGATGACGTACCCGTCCGCACCTGGTTCCCCAAGGAAAACCTCTTCAGTTTCCAGACAGCCACCACAACTATGCAAGCGTGAGTCGCATGCCTGACGTGTGGCCACTGTGCGGGCCTGGGCCGGGGGGCCTCTTGCTGGTGCTCAGGAACTCCTCCCGGATCCTCTCCTGCCCTCTGGGCCCACCTGGGTGGCTGCTCCTGAGCAGCCCCACGTACCCATGTCCGCCAGATCTGCGGGAAGTGACGTCATTCTGAAGGGAGGCAGGTCTGGCTGCTCTCCCCGCTCCCACGGCCATCCCCCACCCCCACCAACCCTCCCTTCCCCATTGCCCTGCCCCCCCAGCCCTCCAATCCCTCACAGTCCTCCAGGCTGTCCATCCTGTCCTCTGGGGACCTGGCCCGAGGCTGCAGCTGATGTAGTTGCCAATGGGGATGGTTCTGGGTCACTGCCCCATCTCAGCCCATGACCCCGCTCTGCCCCCACGTATGCCCCAAACAGCAGCCTCCTTGTGCTTCCTGTGCCCCTCAGGTGATCACAGCTTAGGGGTCTCTGGGGGGTCTGCTCTTCTCTACCTTCCACACACATATGGGTTTTCTCTCATAAGATTCCTTCCACAGAGCCACCCTTTGCTGCAATGTCCCCCACACCAAAGAAGCTCCCTCCCTACATGCTACCCTGGGGAGCTCACTGCCGCCCTTGGGCTAGCTGGGGCTGCCATCTGCGCTGCTGGCTCTAGGGCTGGCAGGGCACAGTCAGACCTCTGTGCCGGTCTGACCAGGTCACAGCACCTGGAGGCATGGGCTGCGGTGACCTCAGCGTCCACTGCCCTTTCAGAGGCTGGCCCACAGTGAAGCCAGTGCCTTGCTGGTGCTTGGGGTACCTGTGAGGGACTCTCCGAGTTAGTGACAAGAAGGGAACCAACCGCAGGGGGGCTTGAGGGCTGAGGGATCATGGCTCATTGTATCTTTTTTCTCACGCTGCCCCTTCCCGCCACGACTCCAGCATCTCGTAAGTACTCTGTGGGACCTCGAGCCTAAGGGCATGGTGGTTGTCCCTGGGGGGCCCTCCTGCCCCCAAATAGGTTTGGGCAGGCCAGGGACCTGGGCCTTGACTGTGAGGGAGTGCTGTGTCCCAGTAAGCACCAAGGCCACAGCGGGGCCTGCTGGGAGCTGGGCTGAGGACAGGGCAAGGCAAGCCAAGACCCTCTGCCTGGCCTGGGGCCCTGGATGCCCCACAGGGCCCTGTGCTCGTGCCTCTGTCCCCACGTCTTTGTCCGTTCTGCCTGCGGCCAAGGGCAGTGCTGACTTGCAGCGGTTTCCCAGGGTGTTCAGGGGCTACGCGGAGAGGAAGCGCCGGAAACGGGAGAATGATTCCGCGTCTGTAATCCAGAGGTAGGGCCTGCCAGCCACTCGCCACCAGGGTCCGTCTCTTGTCTGTGCTGGTCTGGCCTGGGCCCACCCGGCCCTGGCAGACCTGATGGGGGAAGGGCGGTGGCGACCACTGGCCTGGCCCTGCTCTGGGGACGCGGCAGGCAGGAGAGGTCATGTGGCCTGAATCCCCCAGGCCTATGCTTTGGGGGCACATTGACAGTTCAACTGCAGCCAGCTGGCCCATGGTGTCTCTCTCTGGCCCTTGAAGCCAAGAGGTGTGGGGTCAGCAGCAAGGCTTACCCTTCCCAGTCTCCGCCTCAGAGATGTGTCCAGGGAGCTTGTCTGTCCATCTTGGACACTGGGCCTTGGCAAGGCACAAAGTTGGGGGCAAAGAAGACCTGCCTCTGAGGTGGCTCAGGGACACTGGGGGGTGGGGGCGCTCTGCAGACCCCAGCCTACCTGGGGGTGGTGCAGACAATGGCGCTTCCCTGATGGCTGAGTGCAGGAAGCAGGAGCCCTTGACCACTGGGGAGGGAGGCTGGCAGGGTTCAGACTGTGCCTGGGCCCAAGGAGGGAATGGAGGGGTGGGCAGTGGAGGTGGGCTGGCTGAGTGCAGGAGGTCACTGACAGAGGTTTTGGGATGGGGAGGTGAGGCGGCAAGAGAAGGCTTGACCATCGTGCCTTTGTCCTGGCAGCACAGCTCTGGTCCTTCCAGAGCCCTGGAAGTGTCTCTGTAGGAGAGGGACTGGACGGGGTTTGCCTCTGGGTGGGCGACGGGCCAGTGGGAGAGCGTAGAGCGCAAGGACGGCATCTCTCACCGAAAAGGACGAAGGCAGAGCCTCAGGCGCCGTCAGGGGCCGTGGCGGGCGGGGAGCGTGGGGACGCGGGGCGCCGCCCACCCCGTCTCGGGCCCTCACCAGCCCCCCGTGCTTCTTCCCCCAGGAACTTTCGCAAACACCTGCGCATGGTCGGCAGCCGGCGGGTGAAGGCTCAGAGTAAGAACCGGGCGCGCAGCGGGGACGCGGGGACGCGGGGACGCGGGGGCGGGGGCGGCGCTGCTCTTGACCGCCAGGGCTTCGCGTGCTGCTTGCTGCGCCGGAACCCCCCCGTGACCCCAGGCCCACCCCGAGCCCCGCCCCCAGGCCGAGCCCCGCCCCAGCATCCAGGCTCCACCCCATTGGCCCCGCCCCGGGACACTGACTCCGCCCTTTAGCCTGGTCTTGACAGCACAGACCTCCACCACCAGCCTCACCGCAGCATCCAGGATTCGCTCCTAGCCGCGCACCCCCACTCCCAGAGCCGGAACTCCCTGCCTCTACTCTTCCCGCGGAGCCAACCTCACCGTTAGTCCAAGTCTACCTCATGTCACTCAGGCTCTGCGGATGCCCGCCCCGGTCCACTCCAGGCCCCGCCCCGGCCACTCAGGCCCCGCCTCCACTCAGGCCCCGCCTCTGCCCATTCCAGGCCCCGCCTCCACCGAAGCCTTAACCCCGCCTGCTCCAGGCCCCGCCTCCACTGAGGCCCCGCCTCCACCGAAGCCTTAACCCCGCCCGCTCCAGGCCTCGCCTCCACTGAGGCCCCCCGCTCCCCGCCCACTCTAGGCCCCGCCTCCACCGAGGGCCCCGCCCCGTCAGGCCCCGCCCCCGGCCCGCTCGCTGACTGGTTTCGCTCTCACTGCAGCGTTCGCCGAGCGGCGCGAGCGGAGCTTCAGCCGGTCCTGGAGCGACCCCACCCCCATGAAAGCCGACACTTCCCACGACTCCCGAGACAGTAGGTGCCCGGGGCAGGCCGGCCCACCTCCCTTGAGGCTCCCCCAGGCCCCGTGCTCCACAGGGGGGTCACTGCCCTAGCAGTTAGGCTTCTGCGCCTCTACTCTCCCAGCTTCAGTTTACCCGTCTGTGAGATGGGGCGCTCCAGCACCTCCAACCTCGGGCAGAATTAATTAAGGGCGCAGCGGTGCTGGGCAGGGCTGCCTGTAGAGCTCTGTTCTGCTGGGCCTGTGTGCTGCCCCGACTGCGGAAGGCCCAAGTGGCAGGTGCTGTGGTGCTCAGTCCTCCTTGGTCCCGGGCACGGGCATGCCGGGCTGGGGCTGCCACTTGTGCGCTGGCTCCCATCTGCCTTGCACCCGGGGCCACTGGCCTCTCCAGTCTGGCAGCTTCTGGCCGGTGGCAGTGGCCATTCTTGCTGGGCTGGTAGTGATCTTGGCTTGGCTTTGTGGCCCACCCTGGGTCTTTGGCTGGCCTGGGGGACTCTCCAGGGCATGGGTTGCCAGGTCTGTCTACCGCCCATCTCTGGGGGTCACAGCCCGACAGGAGGTGCTGCCGATGGTCTGAGCAGGTGGCCTATCCTGCTCCTCAGGTAGTGACCTGCAGGGCTCTCACTGCACCCTGGACGAAGCCTTCGAGGACCTGGATTGGGAGACTGAGAAGGGGCTGGAGGCTGTGGCTTGTAACACTGAAGGCTTTCTACCGCCTAAGGTCATGGTGAGAGCCACCCCAAGGCTTCTCCAGCCAGTCCTGGGCTGCTGTGGGGGGTCCCTTTTCCTCTGGGAGCCTGACTGGCTCCGCCTAGCATCAGAACAGCCACCGCAGGCTGCCTAGCAAGGAGAAGGCCTCAGGGGCTGCACCAAGGCTTGCCTAGCAGAGGGGGTCTCATGGGGCCCCACGTGGGCTGCTCAGTAGGGAGGGGGTCTGGTGGAGCTCCACGGTGGGCTGCCCAGCAATGGGGGTGACCTCACGGGACTTCTGCTCCCCTCGGCTCTGAGGCAGCAGGGCCCTGATCAGCTCCCGTGTGTCCCCAGCTCATCTCCTCCAAGGTGCCCAAAGCTGAGTACATCCCCACCATCATCCGCAGAGACGACCCCTCCATCATCCCCATCCTCTACGTGAGTGTTTGCCCTGCCTCTCTCCCCTGGGGAGGGGGGATGCTGCCTGAGAGGGACTCTGACGTGGGTGTGGTCTGTGTCTGTCCAGGACCACGAGCACGCGACCTTTGAGGACATCCTGGGTATGTGCCCTCCAATCCCACTGTCTTCTAGTCCCAGGTTGGGGGTGCATGCAGGACGTGGCGGGTGCTGGGGGCAGCACTCACTCACCTCCTTCTCCAGAGGAGATAGAGAAGAAGCTGAACATCTACCACAAGGGAGCCAAGATCTGGAAGATGCTGATCTTCTGCCAGGTGGGGCTCAGTCCCTTTCGGCCCAGGAGTTGGGTGGTCAAGGATGCCACCTCCATGGGTGTGCGTGCGTGTGCATGTGCACGCACCCAGATATGGGGTGGGGGGGAGCAGCACACAGACACCTCGTGTCCGAGGGCCTGCCGGCCAACCACCGTCTGTTACAGGGTGGTCCAGGACACCTGTACCTGCTCAAGAACAAGGTGGCTACTTTTGCAAAAGTGGAGAAGGAAGAGGACATGATTCAGTAAGTGGACAGGGCTGCCCTTGGGGGCTGGGGGGGGAGGGGCTGGAGGCAGTGACCACTGGTACACCCTGCCCCCACAGCCGCTCGCCATGATATTCCTGTCTCTGGAGTTGAGCCCTGGGCCCTGGTCCCACCCGCATCACACCTGGGGAACTCGGGCCCTGGCCCACCCCTCCTCACACCTGGAGGCCTGGCCCGCCCCTCCTCACACCTGGGGACCTTGGGCCTGGCCCACCCCTCCTCACACCTGGGGAACTCGGGCCCTGGCCTACCCCTTCTCACACCTGGAGGCCTGGCCCGCCCCTCCTCATACCTAGGGGCTGGCCCACTTCTCTTCACACCTGGAGACCTGGGCTGGAGACCACGTATGACCTGCTTCTCTCCCACCAGCTTCTGGAAGCGGTTGAGCCGCTTAATGAGCAAAGTCAACCCAGAGCCGAATGTCATCCACGTCATGGGCTGCTACATTCTGGGGAACCCCAATGGGGAGAAGGTACAGGGACCCCAAAACCCACCCCAGGTTTTTGGAGACCCCAGACCCGTGAAAAAGCTTGACAGAAGTCTCCATTTCTCTTTAGGTTGCTTTTCCTTTTTCTTTAATCCTTCCAGAGAAACGCCCTATACCCAAGCCCAGTTTCTTGTGGGGTTCCCTGCCTCTCCCCCACCACTCCTCTCTCCTCCTGCCCTGAACTCACAGCCCCACCCTTCCTTGCAGCTGTTCCAGAACCTCAGGAGCCTCATGACCCCTTACAGGGTCACCTTTGAGTCCCCGCTGGAGTTGTCGGCCCAAGGTGAGCTGGCGGGGCTGGTTCCCAGCCTGTGCAGTGGGGTCTGAGAGGCGGCGGCCTGAGCCCCCGGCCTTGTCCCTTCTTGCCCCAGGGAAGCAGATGATTGAGACCTACTTTGACTTCCGGCTGTACCGCCTGTGGAAAAGCCGCCAGCACTCGAAGCTGCTGGACTTCGAGGACGTTCTGTGAGGGGCAAGGCCACCACCCGGCCGCTTCCTCGGACTGGCGGCTGGAGCTTGGCCGCTGCGTCCGCACCAGACCGTGTGGGTCGTGGTCTTCACACCCTTCAGGGCCCCTCAGACGTCACTCAGGTTTCCTCGGGGTCGGGTCCTCACTGCACCACAGGCCACAGAGGCCACAGCCGCCGGCTCAGGGGGAGCTTCTGCCACCCGGCTGGCAGGCCTCAGCAGCCAGGCGCTGACTGGGCCTAGGCCTCGCCTGGAGGCTGCGGCCTTGGGGCGGCTCCTCTGCGGAGTTCATAGAAATAAGTGCAATTTTCTACACCGGTGAAACAATTCAAAGGGAGGCAGTGTTACTGGTTAACTAGTTAAGTGCTGCGTTACTAGTTACAGCGTAGATGACCAGCCCAGCACGCATTCAGGATCCTCTCTGCTCCCAGCCCCAGCCCCCATCCCTGCGTATCTGATCACCAGCACCGGGAGGCCCGCCTGTGGGGCTGGCGTCACCCGGCTGCCCGGCCTGGCCCTGTCCCGGCCGAGTCCCCGATCCTCCGTGCTTGCGCTCCTCTTGCCACCCCGCTCATCTGACCTCAGCCGCACCGCCTGGCAGGGGTGTGCGCAGCAGGGGAGGGCGCACCTTCCCTTCTCAGAGGAGGCGCCGGGTTGAGCCGGGCCTGCCTGCTCCCCGTCCTCCCACGCCCACCCGGTTCTCTGCTGCTGCTGTCCAGTTCAGCTTTTGTTGGCTGCGGGCTAGAGGCCTCCCCTAGTGCAGAGGCCTGGGGGCTTGGTGGGGGCCTGCCGGGGCTGGGCCCCGGTGGGCGAGAACCCCACCACATGCTGCACTGGGGCCTGGACCCCACATCCCAGGCCCGAGAGCTGAGCAGCTGGTGGACTGTGGGCCCGCAGCCTTGCCTGTGCCCAGTGGGGCAGGCTCTCTTGTATATAGCTGGGGCTCGGGGGCAGGCCCCCCTTTGCAGAGCCTGGGTCTGAGGACACCTGGTTGTGCTCTCGGCCGAGGGTAGGGTGGGGGCGTGTGCCAGGCTCTGAACAATGTACGATATCCCTTAGAGTGACCATTAAATCTGACCCTCTGCTGCTGCCGGCGCATGGGTCTCCTCTCTCAGCACCGTCTGTTACCTTTCTGGGCCCAGGAGCTTCTGGGCCTGCTGGTCTGAGGCTGCTGCTGTGGTGGCCACCTGCACAGCCCAGCCTAGACTGGGGGCTGGGGCTCTCCTGCCCCAGGACACACTCCATGAGGCTTGGGGATGGGGCTGTCAGAACAGGTCCAGGAAGGTGGATGGAGAAGAGCAGGTCCTTAAGACGGCTGCGGGGCTGGGAGGTCCTGGAAAGGGGCTGGGAGGTATGGGGGTGAGAGCAGAGACACACCTACCCCCTGCTGCCTCTGCCCCAACCCCCAGGCACCTAGCAGAGGGCCACGCAGCCCCTCAGACCATTCTGTGCAGGTGGTAAGCATGTGGTCGCAGTGGGAGGCCAGGAAGTGACCACAGGACCAGCTGGCTACCCTTAGCCTCAGTCATCCCCAGGTGTGCCCAGTGCTGCGCCCCTCGGTGGCCAAGCTGCCACTGGGCACAGCCAGGTGTGGCTACCCTGGTGGCTCCCGGTCCAGTAGCCTGGGGACAGAGCAGCAGGTGCCAGTTGGGCACATCCAGGACCACCAAGACTGGGGATGGTGGGAGGCGTGGCTGAAGACACATGGTACCAGGGACCTGGAGGCAAGCAGTCCTTTGTGGGGTGGACATGCCAGCACCCTGGGAGCACATGACCCTGCAGCCTCCAGCTGCTTCTAGGGTATCCCAGACGGGGTTGGGGCCGGGGCACAGAGACAGTGTTGCCAACGTGAATAGATAACGCTTGTAGGAGTTCTGATTAGATAGCAAGTGCCTGTCCACATCCTTTCAATTATGAAGTCACTCACCACAGAGTCACACGTGACTCAAGCGTCCTCTGTGCTCTTCTGAGACATGATGTGTCTCCTTGCCCTTCAGGCCTAGAGCCCACACGAGGCTGCCGGGAAAGTTTCTGTCTGTAGACGAGCCCTGCAGGCCACACGAGCACTCTCCAGCGTGGCCCGCGTACTTGCCACCGTGTGCTGGGACGGCTTGTGCACGGTCGCCTGAGTCCTGACCTTAGGACCAGCTGGAAGCCCTGTCACGCGCTCCTGCCCCTTGCTGGCCTCTCATGGGGACCTGCAGTCGTGGGTCTGGGCTGCTGCAGCAACTGCGTCCGCCCCACACAGTCCTGAGGGGCGGCTGTGGTGGGTCAGGGCTGGGAGGGTCAGCGGCTCGTGGTCTTGCCTCTGGTTCACAAGTTTCTGTTCCTCTCACCTGAGGAGAAGCGTGATGGAGGAAGAGACATCAAACCCAGGAGTCACCCAGGAGCAAGCCCAGTACAAACATGGAAGGCGGTGGCGGACGAGGAGGTGGGCTGGGCGGGGCAGTGGGGCAGGGCCACCGCAGGCCACTGCAGGTCACCACACATCCGCCTGCCCACCTGCCCCAATTGAGATGCAGAAGCAGAGGCGGCCACAAAGATAGTTGGGGAAGAAATGTTTGCAACACATGTGAGGGAGAAAGGATTAAGATCCTTAAGACAGAGCTGTTATGTATTGATAAGCAAGAGACAAAAGCTGATAGGGAAAGTAAACAAAGACCTGAGGAGACACTCAGAGGAGATCAAGTGGCCACCGGGTGATGGGGTCTTGGCCCCATTAGGAGTCGAATGGGAACCAACGCAAGGTGTAAGGTGTTACTTCTTGCCTGTTGGTTTGGCAAAAATTGTAAAGGGTGTTGGTGCCCCATGCTGGTGAGTATGTGGGAGAAAGGTAATGTGAACTGCTGTGGCCTTTTTGAAAAATAATCTGGCAATGGCTTTTAAAATGTAGTTGATAAATAATGATAAACTGGCATGCCCGTTGAGCCAGCACTGCCCTCTGCAAGGATGGCCACTGTCCAACTGCTCATGCCATTAGTTGGGGCAAGTCCAGATCATGTGGATGAGCATGAGTAGATGGTTCAGAAGGCTGATTGTTAAGGGAGAAGTATGGTCAGGCCTGCAAGAGTCCCAAACACCTTCTGTTAAATCTGAAGTGACTAGGTCAAGCTAACATTGGCGGGGTGAGTCCTGCCCTCCCACTGTGATGCATACGCCTCCATAATTACGCAGGCCAGCCTGACCGTAGTGTCCTTGCCATCTTGGATCAGCACGGTGGCCCCACCTGCCCCATCTCCCCCTGCACTGCTCTCTCCAAGCCTTGCACACATGGTACGGACGCCCCCGCCTGCATGTCCAAGCTCACCCCCACAACCCCAAATGGCCACCTGTTGGTACCCCTCGGTTCCAGACATGCGCCCTGGGAGGAAAGACCTGGGGTGTTGTCTGCGGGGTCGTTTGTCGAGACGTCCCCATGGGGCAGCAGAGTGTTTCAAGTCCTACTGAGGTGTGATCCTCATCCTGTACAGACAAACAACAGCTGCTCTGTATAGGAGTAAATCCATGTGTGTGATTGTGGACCATGGAGGAAGGTGTGGAGGAAGTTCACTCCTGGCAGTTAGCATTGCTGGGGGCGGGGGGAGAAGATGTAAAACCTGCCCCTGCAAGTGGCAGGACAGCCTTGGCGCCCCCACCCCGTCCCTACTCCTCTCTCGCTTGCTGCTTCCCCCCAACTCAGTGTCCTCCACCAGCCCCAGACAGGCCTCCAAACTGGCCTCCACGGCCAGCACAGCCCCTGGAGCTCCTTCTCCACCCTGTGGCCAAACTGCTCAACTTGCAGGGCACATCTGTCTCATCTAGAACCTTCCAGTGTTCCATCCCTCTTAGGATGAAACTCACACTTGGTACCACTGTTTGCTCCCACTTCCAGAAGGGACACGTTGTGCCAACAGTTCCTTTTACTGAGTCTGTGCACCCTGGGGGAAAGAGATTCCCACTGGCATTTCCCTGGGAGGGGTCTCCAGAGACCAGAATTAGGAGGGAGGTCATCAAAACCACTGTGGGAGGTGCCTCCACAGGTCCCACCCCACACGCTGTCACCTGGACAGGGCTGGGGTCTGGGGACCCCAGGAAGTCAGCCACTTGAGCTAAACATGCTGGATCCACTGGGTCTGGTGTGGGGGAACCTGGCTCAAGGGCTAGGAAGGGGGACCCTGGAAGGGACCAGGAGTCAGGGATCTAGAAAGTACTGGAAAGCCACCTACAAAGGTGTTTATAAGCCCCCAGGCCTGTGTGGACCTGGCCCTCACCCGTGCCATAACCAGCGCACCGGCCCAATCCCAGATGCACCACTGGTGGCACAGCACAGCGACGTGGAGGACACAGTGAAGGAAAAGGGGGGACCTGGGACTAGAGCCACTGAGACTGCAGCCGAAACTCCAGCATCTCCACAGGGTGGAGGCAGGACCCAGTCTCAGGGTGGCATTCAAAATGTTACAGACCAGAACTGTTGGCACCCACGAAAGTCTTGACCAGCAGAGACAAGGCCATCAGCAAGCACAAAAGATGAGGGGTCACAGAGGTTGGAATTATCTGACAGAGACTCAAAAGAGCTGTTGTGAAGATGCGTGAATGAGCCGTTGTGAGCACTTAGACCAGACAGAAATGTAGGAAGTACCAGCAAAGAAATAGAAGCTATAGAAGAGCCACATGGACACTTTAGGACTGAGAAACATAGTAACCAAAACAAACAAACCCTCTCTCACTGGGCAGACTCGAGGTGACAGAGGAAAGAGTCCATGAACTAGAAGATAGGTCAATAGAGATTATCCTGTCTGAACAATAAAAAAGATTGAAAAAATAATTAACGGAGCTCAGGGTCTGTTGCACCACAGAAAGTATAAGATCCATTTCTTTAGAGCCCCAGAAGCAAAGGGAAAACTGTGTTGCTGGAAAAATATCTGAGGAAATACATACTGAAAACATCCCAAGTTTAGCAAAAGATATGAGCCTACAGATTAAGAAACTGAGCTGATCCCAAACAGCATAAAGCCAAAGACATCTACACCCAGACATCGTAATCAAACTACTGAAAACTAAAGACAAAGAAGAATATTGAAAGCAGAGAGAGAAAAGACACCTCACCTGTAAAGGAACATGATTCAAATGACATTGTGTGTGCATTTGCTGGGGCTGCCATAACAAGCACCACAGATGGGCGGCTTAAACAACAGAAATGTATCGTCTCACATCCTGGAGGCTGGAAGTCCGAGCAAGGTGTCAGCAGAGCTGGTTTCTCCCGAGGCCTCTCTCCTGGGCTTACAGATGCTGTCTTCTCCCTGTGTCCTCACGTGGCATCCCTCTGTACCCACCTGTGTCCTAATCTCCTCCTCTTATAAGGTCACCAGTCAGATTGGATTATGGCCCAACCAAGTGACCTCATTTTAC